AGGCTGAGGCAGGAGAATTGCCTGAACCCAGGAGGCGGAGGTTGCGGTGAGCAGAGGTCGCCCCATTGCACTCCAGCCTGGGTAACAAGAGTGAAACTCCGTCTCAAAAAAAAAAAAAAAATTTTTTTTTTAAACCATCTGGGACTCAGAGCAGGATAGTTATAAGAAAAAAATGGTAACCAGGCCTAGCAAGCTCTTTGGCAAGCGGAGGAATACTAGTGATAAGTAATGACTACAGCTAACATTCATATATCGCATATTATGTGGCATGCACTATTCTAGCATTTTACATGTATTTTTTTTCTTTTCTTTTTTTTTTTTTAGAGATGGGGGTCTCGCTATGTTGCCCAAGCTGGAGTGCAGTGGTTATTTACAGGCGCAATCACTACTGATCAGCACAGGAGTTTTGACCTGCTCTGTTTCCGACCTGGGCCGGTTCACCCTCCTTAAGCAACCTGGTGGTCCCCCGCTCCCAGGAGGTCACCATATTGATGCTGAGCTTAGTGAGGACACCCAAGTGGCATAGCACACTACAGCCTAGAACTCCTGGACTCAAGAGATCCTCCAGCCTCAGCATCCCGAACAGCTGGGACTACAGGCACACACCACCGTGTCCAGCATTTTACATGTATTAACCCACTAAATACTAACAATAATCCTTACTACCCCCATTTCTAAGATGAGAAAACTGGGACATGTAGACATTAGGTTGTTTGCCCAAGTGGAATCAGTCTTTAAATCCAGGGAGCTGCTGGGCATGGTAGCTCATGCCTATAATCCCAGCACTTTGGGAGGCCGAGTCAGATGGATCACCTGAGGTCAGGAGTTCATGACCAGCCTGACCAACATGGAAAAACCCTGTCTCTACTAAAAAGTACAGAATTAGCCAGGTGTGATGGAGCATGCCTGTAATCCCAGCTATTCGGAGGCTGAGGCAGGAGAATCGCTTGAACCCAGGAGGCAGAGGTTGCAGTGTGCCGAGATCACTGGGCAACAAGAGCGAAACTCTGTCTCAAAAAAGCAATAAAATAAATCAATCCAGGGAGCTCACATTCATAACCACTTGACTATACCACCATGACAATTTACACATGAGTATAAGGAAAGAACTCCTCAGCACTGTGCTGGGGCCTCTGGTGTGGAGTGTGGCTGGGAAAGGCAGAACACACTGAAACATGGGTCTGAACTAAAGTTTGTCCTCACCGGTTCTCTGTGGTCCTTGTCTCTCCATGGCTCTCCCTGACCATGCGAGCCACCTCAGGGAAACCAGCTTCTTCAGCGAGCTGAGCCGCATCCCTGCCCCCTAGTTCACAGACCCCCACCCAGGCAGCCCCACGGCCCAGGAGATAGCTCACAGCTGCCCGCTGGCCAGCTCGAGCAGCGCACATCAGTGGAGTCCACCAGAAGGCATCCCGAGCATTGATATTCCCCCCAGCTCCTCCTGCCTCATGGGGCTCCAGCAGTCTCCTAAGTTCTGCTAGGTCCCCCTCCTGGGCTGCCCGCAGTATCTGCTGAGTCATCTTGTCTTCAGCCTCAAGGGATCTTCCTTGTCCATGTCTTCCTGATGGTCCTGCTGCCACTGCTTCTGCTGCAGCTGCCCTCATTATTCTTCTTTTCTTTCTCTTTCTTTCTCTGGCAGGTTCAGTCTGAGATCTCTGGGAGTCAGGAGCACTGCTCTCATCCCCAATCAGGGCCTCATAGAAAGCTCGGACTGCAGCCCCATCGAGGGTGGACTCTGGCTCCTCGGGCTGCTGCTGCTGCTGCTGCTGCTGCTGCCCATCCCTCCAGAGGTCGCTGGGGTCAGTGGCTGGGGTGAAGGTGATGAGGAAGGGCCGGGACATGGCTTTTGGGAGAAATGAGAAAATGAAACCAGGCAAGGAAAGGATGACACGAGCAAGCCAAGCTACTGGTGACCCCTGTAGCAACCAGAGCCTCCAGGGAAATGCTGGGATGAGAAAAACTAGTCAAAAACACCCTCCTGCCGCTAAAGTGACCCCACAACTTAGGACCCCGCAGGGCCTAAGGCAAAGAGGTTATGTGTAAAAACACGGAACCCTACAATAACTGACTCTGCTCCTTAGCAAAGGTTAATAAAACTCCATGAGACAGTTAGTTGTCCAGAGGTCCTGCGTCCCGCCCCCACCCTCATCCTCACCAACAATAAATACCAGCCTCTTTCTGAAACCATTTTACCACCCCATAAAACACACATACCATTAAGAAAAAAAATCAGTCTGTCCCTTTAAATCCTCCTTGATACCATTTTGGAGTTTCCTCCGAAATAGAAGTCACTACCTAGGAAGATCTCGAGGAGAGGCTCCAGTCTGCGTTGCTGTGTAGCTTCCGTACGGCAAAATGGCGCTATTCTAATCAGAAGAGTTGACACATGACACAATCAAATAGCCACACGGCACGAAGACGCATGCGTGGCGACGACAACCACAACAAAAACCACAACCCACATTACTTGAGCGCTCAGGCGTGCGCAAAGCTCCCAGTTCAGTTTCCCGCGCTGGAACCTTTCCAACAGCAAACGCGCAAAGTCTGCGCGCCCAGCTGGCGCGAGCACCAGGATCTGTCGGTTGGGGTCCTACTTTTACCTAACGCCCCCACAATGCCCTTCGCCTTCCTTAACGCGGCCCCCCCGCTCCAAGCCCATTTTCTGGAGCTGGGAATCCACTCTCCGGGTTAGGAAAGGCCCTCAGGAGGCGGAGGGAAACCTGTGGAATGCCAAGAAGCCGAGAAATGAAATAACGTCACGCCTGCCCCTCACCATTACTCTGACCAGGGTTCTAAGGTCACATTTAGAGCGTAAGAGAAAATGGAGACGTGCAAAGGGACGAGCAGAATGGCTGGCGCCACCTCAGGTTAGCGCACTGCGCCGCTCTGGTTCTCACAACGCTCAGCTCAGGCCAGCCCACCCAACCCAAGTCCCTACGCACGGAACCAAACCGCACCTCTCGCCTCATGAGGCCAGAGCCGGGGGAGAAACGAGGCCATTCAAGGGTGTCCGGCGGGACTGACTCGCACTAGGGGCTCAACAGGCAATAAGGACCCAGTGGATTGCCGGGGATGGGCCAGTCCCCTGGGCAGCAGCGCCGCGCCCCGCCGGAACTAGAGGGGAACTGTGAGGAGAGCTGTGGGGAGGGGTCCTGCGTGGCTCCCTCCTTTCCCCGCCCCATCTCGGCTTTTTCGCCCAGTGAGCACACAACTCTATTTCCCAGGCTCCCTGGCCCCAAACGCCATACCTGGCTTCCGCTTCCGGTGGCTTCTTGCTGCGCCCCGCCCGCAAACAGTCTCCTCCCCGGCTTCGTGACAGCCAGGTCGTGCGCGGGTCATCCTGGGATTGGTAGTTCGCTTTTCCTTCATTTCATCAGTTTCTCTTTCTACCTGGGACTCCGCATCCCGGCATCCACCGCGGCACCTGACCCTTGGCGCTTGCGTGTTGCCCTCTTCCCCACCCTCCCCAATTTCCACTCCCCCCCCCACCCCACTTCGCTTGCCGCGGTTGGGTCCGCGGCCTGCGCTGTAGCGGTCGTCGCCGTTCTTTGGAAGTAGCAACTTCCCTACCCCACCCCAGCCCTCGTTCCCGTCCAGCCGGTGAGTCTGAGGTCGTCGCTGCTCAGAGTCTCTTGTCGTTGGGAGCAGCACATGGGGTCTCCTCACTTTGATGTGGGGGCGGGGGAGGAAGCGACCAGGTCCGGCATAAAAGAGGGAGAGGTGGCCTGAGGAGCGGAGGCGGGATGTGTGGACTCCAGTGAAAGGGACCTGACGGTCGCCCCCAACCTATAAGAAAAGGAGGGGCCCGGCTCTTGCTTGAGAATGATAAACTTCGAAACCCTTAGGAAAGGCGCTGGGGTCATGCAGAGAGCTGCAGTGGTAGGGAGCCTGAGCCGAGGTCCGTGCTGGAGTTGACACAAAGAGGGCCCTGGCCTTCGGGAGCTCCAGGGATGTGGGTCAGGCTGGTTGGTCAAAGTATCTGTTGGCTTCTCTCAAGTGGTGGGACTCCAAAGTATGTTTAACTTCAAAGAAAAGGAGCTGAGATGTAAATTAGAGGAGCTGGTGAGGAGTGCTTCAGAGTTTGGGATCCTTTAAAAAAGGGTGGCTGCAAATTCTAAATTCTCCCGTGGTTGGAGGGCCGAATGTGGGAGGAGGGAGGATACCTGAGGCAAAGAGGGAGAACTTGAGCTTTACTGACACTCTTCGTTTTCCAGCTGACGTGAAGATGAGCAGCTCAGAGGAGGTGTCCTGGATTTCCTGGTTCTGTGGGCTCCGTGGCAATGAATTCTTCTGTGAAGTGAGTTCTCTTCAACCTCCCTACTTGCCAGCTCCACATACATTCCCACTAGACGTTTCTCCACATATTCCACTTCTACACCATTCTCTTATATGCTGCTTGAAAACTTCCCATCAATGAAGAGTCCCCTCAGTAACCCCCGACAAACCTGTGCTAAAGTGGCAAAACTGGGGCCTGTCCCAACTCTGCCACCCTGCAGCAATATAACGTTGGACTAGACAATTTGTGTCCTTTTCTTTTTCTTTTCTTTTTTTTTTTATTTTTGAAACCGAGTCTTGTTCTGTCACCCAGGCTGGAGTGTAGTGGTGTGATCTCACCTCACTGCAACCTCTGCTTTCCAGGTTCAAGTGATTCTCCTGCTCCAGCCTCCCAAGTAGCTGGGATTACAAGTGCCTGCCACCACGCCCAGCTAATTTTGTATTTTTTTTTTTTTTTTAAATTTATTGCTACCCCTCCCCTCCCCTAATTTTGTATTTTTAGTAGAGACAGGGTTTCACCAGGTTGCCCAAGCTGGTCTCGAACTCCAGACTTTAGGTGATCTGCCCGCCTTGGCCTCCCAAAGTGCCGTGAATACAGGCATGAGCCACTGCACCCAGCCTGTGTCTTTTATTGCTAAAGTGGCACTGCTAGTACCTGTGTCAGGTGGCCGTTAGGAGAATTGATATGCTATGTATCCAAATCTTTTGTTCAGAAACCATGCCATTCAGCTTCCACCTTCCTTAGCCAACTGAGAGGACAAAACTGGTTCCCAGAGTTGGGGGACAAGAATAAGGATAGAGATCTGGAAAAGAATATCTAAGAAAAAGATTGCTGTGCTTGCTTATCCTTAGAAAACAAAAGCCAAAGCTTTTATGGGAGGGAGTATAGGTGAACTGAGGAGAGATGCAAGTACTTCTGCTAAGTTTCAAGTGAGAAACAAGGGGGAACAGATGTAGTTATGTTGATAACAAGGCATCAGTTAGAGCATTTTGCCCACGTTAAAGATGGAGATTTTGATATGGGTTCCCTCTTGGCTTCCATATCCTGACAGGTGGATGAAGACTACATCCAGGACAAATTTAATCTTACTGGACTCAATGAGCAGGTCCCTCACTATCGACAAGCTCTAGATATGATCTTGGACCTGGAGCCTGGTGAGGCACCCTCAGGGTTGTTTTGTGTGTGTGCGTGCACTTTTTTTTCTCTTCAAATTCCTATTCACTTGCTTGAATTTTGAAATTTCCTTTGGTTCTCTGATTTTCTTAACCCCAAATTCATGCTTTATTTTGATCTTCCACCTGACTCTTGTCTAGTTTTGTGACGTGTATCACTTGTTCCTGTGCGTTTTAAATCCACAGTTTGGATCTATTCCAAAATGGGTTTCTTCATGGGTCTCATTTGCTGTCTATTTCTCCTACCTTGGACCTTCCAGTCTGGAGTTTGATCTTCTGCATTGATATTGTTGCATTTATGTATTGAGGAGGGAGCTGGGAGGGAGAGGAGAGGAGAGGGCAGAGGCTGACGAGGTGTGAAGAGAAGGCAGAGCTCTGCCTTGGGCTGGTGAAAGCGTCAGAAGCCCAGGTTTCTCAGTCACATGCCCAGGTGTTGGATAGGGTAAGGCTCAAAAGTAGGTGCTAGGCAAACTGAATAGCTGGCAGCCCCTGGGTATGGGCAGGGCACCTAGGAAAGCTGAAAAACAAGTGGTTGCATTTGGCTGGGCTGTGTTTCAGATGAAGAACTGGAAGACAACCCCAACCAGAGTGACTTGATTGAGCAGGCAGCCGAGATGCTTTATGGATTGATCCACGCCCGCTACATCCTTACCAACCGTGGCATCGCCCAGATGGTGAGTCCTCTCTGCTCCCACTTGCCTCTTTCTGAGCAGTAAGAGAAACAGGTTCCTGCAACAAGAAGTCATGTTTCAGCCCAGTTAAGGAAACTAGCTGAGAAGAGGGGAAGAACCCCAGAACTTGGGCCTGTGAAATTTAATCCTGATTGGGGGTCATTCTGAAGGGACTGTTTTCAGGGAGGGAGACAGACCTTGAACAGAGAGTTGTTATAGATTGGCTTTTCCTCAAGGAACAAACAGTGAATGGCTCTGATGGTTTGTTGCCTGCCTAACTGGAAGAAAAGCAACATAAGAGTTTGAGAGCCCATCTGGGCCAGAGAAGGGGCCTCTGGACAGAGGTGGGAGGAGTGGGGGACAAAGTGATGTGGGTTGGGCTGAGAAGGGAGTTGCCTCTTCTCTTAACACCTACCTGCCAACCCCTTCCATTTTATTCATCTCAGTTGGAAAAGTACCAGCAGGGAGACTTTGGCTACTGTCCCCGTGTGTACTGTGAGAACCAGCCAATGCTTCCCATTGGTGAGTGTTGAAGCAGGGAAAGGAAGGCACTATGTGACAGTCTTATGGAAAGGAGTTGGGGCCTGAGTCCTGAGGGGAGGTGAGGGTGGGAAAGGGGGGCTACCTGGCATGCTGAGTCTGGCTGTCTCCCAGGCCTTTCAGATATCCCAGGTGAAGCCATGGTGAAGCTCTACTGCCCCAAGTGCATGGATGTATACACACCCAAGTCATCGCGGCACCATCAAATGGATGGCGCCTATTTTGGCACTGGTTTCCCTCACATGCTCTTCATGGTGCATCCTGAGTACCGGCCCAAACGACCTGCCAACCAGTTTGTGCCCAGGTAGGGAGCAGAGAGAATTATTAAGGGTCAAAGGAAAGGCCTAAGATCCTCTAGAGAGAGGGGCGGCCGAAGCATGTCCCTTTTTTGAAGCCTGCTTCTCCCAGAATCAGGATATCTCCCTGCTAAGTGACTGGTGGGAAAGTTATTTGATTGTCTGTGCTTTAGTTACCTTATCATAGAATGTTCTTGAGCTGAGAAGTTGGGAACCACTAGGCTTAAGCTCTGAACAGGTCCACGTAGGAGCTCGGGTGGGAATGTGGGAATGCAGGTCACTGGCAGGGCTTGGATGGGGCTCATACTGCTGCCTCTGACCTCTGCCCTGGCCCAGGCTCTACGGTTTCAAGATCCATCCGATGGCCTACCAACTGCAGCTCCAAGCCGCCAGCAACTTCAAGAGCCCGGTCAAGACGATTCGCTGATTCCCCACCCCACCTGTCCTGCAGTCTTTGACACTTCCTTTCCTTTTTACCACCGTTTCAGGAACCCTGTATGGTTTTTAGTTTAAATTAAAGGAGTCATTATTGTGGTGGGAATATGAAATAAAGTGGAAGAAAAGGCCATGAGCTAGTCTGCTGGTGCTTGTGGTTGGGGAAGGGAAGGTGATGGTATATTGGACTTCAGGGCCCTCATGGCCCAGCCCACCCTCTCCAGATTGAAAACCAGGACAGATTTGTGCTGAGTGGATTCGGTGATGTTTTTAGTATAGAACAGAATTCCTAGGATGGCATGTGATGAAGGGCAAGGTCAAAAGGAAAAGATAGAAAAAACATGTTTCAAAGATGAAAAGTATTTGTTTGGATACCTGTGACTGTCTGTTTATGTAAGGGACTTAATCAGCAACTCCTTTTTTTTTTTTTTTTTTTTTTTTGAGACGGAGTTTCACTCATGTTACCCAGGCTGGAGTGCAATGGCGCGATCTCGGCTCACCGCAACCTCCGCCTCCTGGGTTCAGGCAATTCTCCTGCCTCAGCCTCCTGAGTAGCTGGGATTATAGGCACGCACCACCATGCCCAGCTAATTTTTTGTATTTTTAGTAGAGACGGGGTTTCACCATGTTGACCAGGTTGGTCTCGATCTCTTGACCTCGTGATCCACCCGCCTCGGCCTCCCAAAGTGCTGGGATTACAGGCTTGAGCCACTGCGCCCGGCCGTAACTCCATCTTTTTTTTGAGACGGAGTTTTGCTCTCGTTGCCCAGGCTGGAGTGCAGTGGCTCAATCTCAGCTCACTGCAACCTCTGCCTCCCAGATTCAAGCCTCAGCCTCCCAAGTAGCTGGAATTACAGGCATGGGCCACTAAGCCCGGCTAATTTTGTATTTTTTAAGTAGAAACGGGGTTTCTCCATGTTGGTCTCAAACTCCTGACCTCAGGTGATCTGCCCGCCTTGGCCTCCCAAAGTGCTGGGATTATTAGGTGTGAGCCACTGTGCCTGGCCTAGTTTTGGTTTTAAAGTAAAAGTAGCCCTAAAGTCAGTATAACTAAAGGGTGGAACGAGGCGGGACACGGTCTAGAATTGCTGCTCAGTGATGTCTGTGTGCCTCCTGTTGGGGGAGTTGAGACTGTGGATGGTTGGTTTCCTGGCTAGTTTCTCCCAGCACAGTGGGGACTGGCTCTGTTGTATGAAGAAGACAGCACATAGTGGCAGAGATAGACTCTAACCCATGGACTTTCCATGGGAGGGAATAGGCCTTTGGAGGGTATGCAGGACCAAGGTAGACACTGGATAAAGAACCAGGTAGTTCCCAAGTGTTGCCCCATCTGGGACATTGCTCCCACACTCAGGAACCAGACCTTGTGGGTGAGAACACACTGTCCCTCCTGCCAAATTAATAACTTCCTCCCCAGCCAGAATCCTGCAGCAGGCAGGCATATAGCTCTGTACTTACAGTAGCTCCTGCTCAGACGTTGTCAAAACCACCCTGCAGCTCAGGATTAAGGAGCGTGGTCACAGGAAGGTGGGGTTTCAGGGCATCCCTCAGAAACTGCCCGTCTCCCCAGAATTCCAAAATGAAGGCCCATGTGCTTGTAGGTGTGCTGGTCATGGTGGGCTTCGCGGTGGGAAAGGGTAAGTGGGGCCCACGGGCAGGGAGGGAGGGAGGGGTAACTGAGTCTAGGGTGGGGGTGGAGCTTGGCCATGATACTTGGGCTTCCTACTGGCCAGGGTATTTGAGAGAGAGCTAGTGCTCCCATCCATCCTTTCTTCTGCCTCCCTAGCTCCTGTTCCTGACATCCGGACCTGCCACTTCTGCCTCTTAGAAGACCCTTCTGTAGGATGCATTTCAGGCTCAGAGAAGTGTACCATCAGCAGCTCATCCCCATGCATGGTGATCACCATCTATTATGGTAAATAAGCTCCCAGGAAGGGGCTGCTAGTGGGGCAGCCAATGGCTTGGTCTCCTCTCCTCTCACAGATCAGGACTGCTCCAGGTGTAGGGTACAAGAAGAGAGGAGGGGCCAAGCATAGTGGCTCATGCCTGTAACCCTAGCACTTTGGGAGGCTGAGGCAGGTGGATCACTTAAGCTCTGGAGTTCAAGACCAGCCTAGGCAACATAGTGAGACCCTGTCTCTACAGAAAAGTAGGCATGGTGGTGTGCACCTGTAATCCCAGCTACTCGGGAGGTTGAGGTGAGAGGATCTCTTGAACCGAGGAGGCAGAGGTTGCAGTGAGCCAAGATTGCACCACTGCATGCCAGCGTGGGTGACAAAGCGAGACCCTGTTTCAAAAAAATAAAAAAGAAGAGAGAAGCATCTTGGAAGGAGGGGTCTAAGGTTCTAGAGGGCCAGCAGAGCTCACTTTTCTAGCTTTTTTTTGAAGGAGTGGGGGTTAGAAGTCAGTAGGTCTGGGTAAGAGATGGGGAAAGTCAGTGGCTGACGTTTGTGGACTATAGGAAGCTATTGGAAGAGGTTATCAGCTTTCCCCTCTCCCTCAGATGTCAAGGTTCGCTTCATCGTTCGAGGCTGTGGACAGTACAATTCCTACCGCTGCCAAGAAAAACGCAACACCTACTTCGCAGAGTACTGGTATCAGGCCCAGTGCTGCCAGTATGATTATTGCAACTCCTGGTCAAGCCCGCAGCTCCAGAGCTCCCAGTGGGAGCCCCGTGACAGGCCCTTGGCCCTGCCTCTGTCTGACTGGCAGATTCAGTGGTTCTACCAGGCCCTGAACCTCTCACTGCCCCTCCCCAGTTTCCATGCTGGGAAGGAGCCTGATGGCCTGGACCCCGTGGCCAAACTGTCCCTGAGCCTGGGCTTGTCGTTTGCTGACCTGCGCCGCATGTATTTGTTCCTCAATAGTTCAGGACTTTTGGTTCTTCCCCAGGCTGGACTCTGACACCTCACCCTTCCTGAATTCCACTCTGTGCAAGTGTCTCTCTCTGTCACCCTCAGCATGCTGCACTCCCCTCTCTGAAAACACCCACCTTCTTTGGTCAGTGATTTCTTAGGCCTCCCTTGGTTGTACCACCAGCATCTATATGCCTTTGGTGTAATTTCTCTCTTGAACACTGGTACTATTCTTCCTCCTAGAAAATAATCTCTAGTGTGGATTCTGCCCAGACAGGCTGACCTGGGAAAGTCACAGTGGATCCTCCATTCCTTCTTCATTATGAGTGTTCCAGTATCCCCCATCCCTCTCAATCTGGTCACTTGCCTATTTAGATCTAGCTCTTTTTCTTCTGTCTTGTCCCTGTCTCTAAGACCCACTACCAGACTGAACTTGCAGCAAGAAGGATAAGGAGGCCAGGCACGGTGGCTCACGCCTGTAATCCCAGCACTTTGAGAAGCTGAGGTGGGTGGATCACTTGAGGTGGGGAGTTTGAGACCAACCCGGCCAACATGGTAAAACCTTGTCTCTACTAAAAATACAAAAATTAACCGGGTGTGGTGGCGCACCTCTCTAATCCCTGAGTAGCATCCTGCTACTCAGGATGCTGAGGTAGAAGAATTGCTTGAACCTGGGAGGCAGAGATTGCAGTGAGCCGAGATCACATCCCTGCACTCCAGCCTAGACAACAGAGTGAGACTGTCAAAAAAAAGGATGAGGAAGAATAGAATTCTATGCAGGTGTCCTGACTTGGCATCTTGTGTCCCTGCCTCACTGTCTCTACCACCCCCCTTTTGTCCTGGTCTTTTCTCTCTTCTGTCCTCTCTTGTCAGTCTCTGGCCTCGTCAGTCCCCTTTCCCCTCACTGAGTCCTGACACCCACCTCCCTAGGGGCCTGTGAGAGGAGAGGAAAGGGTGTGTCTTGCTCAGCTCCATGTCCCCTGTTTTCCTCCACAATAAACTGGGACTGGGCTAAATCTGTGTGACATTGTTTGTGGGGTCAGGCTCAGGTGTGGCCAAGTATAAACAGGTTAAAGAGGGTTAATGCCAGGTCTGGTGGCCCACGCCTGTAATTCCCAGCACTTTGGGAGGCCAAGGCCGACAGATTACCTGAGGTCGGGAGTTCAAGACCAACCCAAACAACATGGAGAAACCCTGTCTCTACTAAAAATACAAAATTGGCCCGGCGTGGTGGCACATGCCTGTAATCCTAGCTACTGGGGAGGCTGAGGCAGGAGAATTGCTTGAACCTGGGAGGCAGAGGTTGCAGTGAGCCATTGCACACCAGCCTGGGCAGTAAGAATGAAACTCCATCTCAAAAAAAAAAAGGGGGGTTAATGAGGTGTGGGATCCAGATAGGGTTGCAGGTCCCTTTCTTTTGTGGCTTCCTTGGCCTCCCCTAAAGGGTACACATCCTTCCCCACCCTCTGCTCAGCTGGAGATCAAAGCATAGGGACTGTGGGTGTTCCCAGCTTTAAACATACCCTACGAAACCTAGAAAGAACATTCAACCCTGAAGATGCCAGGTCTTTTCACTTAAAAGAAATCAGCCAAGCACCATGGCTCATGCCTGTAATCCTAGCACTTGGGAGGCTGAGGTTGGGGGGAGGGGGATCACCTGAGTTCAGGAGTTCCAGACCAACCTAATCAGCATGATGAAACCCCATCTCTAGTTAAAAAAAAAAAAAAAAGCCGGGCGCGGTGGCTCAAGCCTGTAATCCCAGCACTTTGGGAGGCCGAGGCGGGTGGATCACGAGGTCAAGAGATCGAGACCATCCTGGTCAACATGGTGAAACCCCGTCTCTACTAAAAATACAAAACATTAGCTGGGCATGCTGGCACATGGCTGTAATCCCAGCTACTCAGAAGGTTGAGGCAGGAGAATTGCCTGAACCCAGGAGGCGGAGGTTGCAGTGAGCCTGAACCCAGGAGGCAGAGGTTGCAGTGTGCCGAGATTCCGCCATTGCACTCCAGCCTGGGTAACAAGACCGAAACTCCGTCTCAAAAAAAAAAAAAAAAAAAAAAAAAATTAGCCGGACATGGTGGCGGGCACCTGTAATCCCAGCTACTCCTGAGGCCTGAAAATCACTTGAACCCAGGAGGTGGAGGTTGCAGAGAGCAGAGATTATGCCACTGCACTCTACCCTAGGCAACAAGAATGAAACTCAGTCTCAATCGAAAAAAAAGAAACTTTCTCTCTAAACCAGGAAGACTCAGGAACTCAGAGCCACATCCCAGAGTCACTTGCTGCTGGGACCCTGGCCTCCTGCCATTCCTTAGTTCTTTTCAAGGATTCTGGCATTTAGGACACCCTCAGGGGTTCCAGGGTTGAAGGGCCAAGTGCAGAGAGCACTCCTTGGGCTGTAGTGGTTGGATATTCATTTTAATAGTTTAATTTTGAAATATTGCAAGCATATAGATAGCAGTGATGGATACAAGTCAGCCTTTTCTATACACTAAATAAACGTACTGGACATACGCTGCTTTGAGTCAGGCTCAGTGTTGAGCGGCAGGATACCCAGATGAGCACAGCCAGGTGTCTGCCCTTCCAAGTCTTTTACCCCAGTGCTGGGGTTATGAAACTTTTTTTTCTGAAAAGCAGTGCAGCTTTGTGGCTGGGAGGCCCAATCCCAGCTCCTTTACCCCTTGGGTAAGTCAGTCTCTTCAGGCTCAATTTGGTCACCTGTCAAGTGGGGATAGCGCCTCAGATGATTGAGAAAACGCGTGTAAATGTGCGTATGTTAAGTGGAAGTTAGCACCTTTTCCCCCTCAAAAAACTGTATTTGCCTTAAGAGTCAAATGCCTACACAATGTTTGGCTTTTTTTCCCTAATGCTCTTGCCATGTTGCCCAAGCTGGCCTTGAACTCCTGGGCGCAAGTGATCCTTCTGTCCCAGCCTCCAAGTAGCTGGGACTGCAGATGCCATGGCCACCTGGCTAATTTATTTATTTTCAAACCTTTTTGGTGAAACATTAGAAGCTTACACGTATCACAAGATGAATTTTTGTAAACCACATACCTGTGTAACCAGCCACCAAGTCAGCATTAAGACATTTACCCGCAGCCAAGCCTGCCTGTGTATCCCTCCCAGGTGCTTTTCCCAGTTCTCTGGGGCAGCTGCTGTCCTGACTGGTAGCTTAGATGAGTTTTGTCTGTGCTTGATGGAAATGGCATTGTACAGTAACTGTTGTGACCTACGCAGTGTTTTGCACACGTGTTAACAAATCTCTGTGGCCTGTACTCTGACGGAAGACACCAAACCAATGATAATTAGGTCATGAGGCAGTTGGAGTACAAAGGTACAATTCCTTAATGTGCCCCCCAACCCCCACCTTGCTAGGTCCACCCTTCTCCATGACCTCTGACATCAGTATAAGAGAAAGTCCCAGGTTTATACAACTCTAGCAGGTCAACCTGGAAAACACCCTCAGAGGCTGAAGAACTTGGCCCAGAATTGAAGAGACCAAGAGTCCAATCAACCTAACGTCTTTTTGAGAGTAGCATTCTCTGCCCAGGGATGGCTCATGCCTGTAATCCCAGCCCTTTGGGAGGCCAAGGCAGGCAGATCACTTGAGGTCAGGGGTTTGAGACCAGCCTGGTCAATATGAAACCCCATCTCTACTAATAAAATACAAAAAATTAGCCAGCCATGGCGATATGTGCTTGTAATCCCAGCTGCTCAGGAGGCTGAGGCAGAAGAATCACTTGAACCAGGGAGGCAGAGGCTGCAGTGAGCCGAGTTCACACCACTGCTCTCCAGTCTGGGCGACAGTGAGACTCCATTTCAAAAAAAAAAGAGTGGCCTTTCTGCAGAGAGGTAGGACAATAAAAAAATTAAAAAAAAGAGTGGCCCCCTCGCCCACCTCCTGTCTGGGCCTGGTCCTTTTGCAGCCCCCACTCCCACCAACATAGCCCTCTAAACCCTCCAGCCCCCACACAGCTCTGGTCTGAGAGCACTGCCGAGGATGCCCTGACTTTCTGGCATTCACCATAAGAGTGCTTTCATTTCCTCTTCCCCTTTTAGGGTCTAGAGCTGAATCGCATACCAAGGCAGGGCAGGAGCAGAGCTCAGCAGGGCTAGGGGCCCCTTACCTGCCCCCATGGTAGGGCAGTCAGGCAGGTGCACCTCCCTCAGCCTTCACCTCCACCAGAAGAAAGAGACAAACCAAACAGTGTGCACACAAATTTATTTTGAAGAAACACCCAGGGACTAGGGACAACAGAGGAAACCTGGGGGGGCAAGACTGGGGGGGTACAGAGTGGGAGTAAGTGTGTTGAAGGGCGTCAACCAAGAGGAAGACCAAGGCTGGGGTCCCGTGACTGGAGGGAGGCAAGGAGAGCTGGTATGAAGGACTAGAAGTCCTGGCCAAGCCCAGACAGAAGTCAGGAAGGTGGCTGGAAACTGGTGGAATGTTATGCCAAAGGTTGTTGCAGTCACTGTAAGGTATAGTGCCCTCTGTTTTGAGGGTCATTGCAGAAATCCAGGAAGCAGCACTGAGAGAATATCCAGAAGCCAGAAACCGGAGAAGTTCGGGTATTTGAACAATCACTCATCTGCTCCTTACTTCGGCAGTCACTCACCATGATGTCAGAACCACTGACTGGGGAAGGACCACAGGCACCAGTGATACAGAGGTCCCCGGGAAGAGCCCCAAATCCTCTCATCCCCTCACTCATAAACCAAAATAAAGAAAAAGAAAAGATTCCTGAGCCAGGCGCGGTGGCTCACGCCTGTAATCCTAGCACTTTGGGAGGCTGAGGTGGATGGATCACCTGATGTCAGGAGTTCAAGACCAGCCTGGCCAACATGGTGAAACCCCATCTTTAAAAAGAAAAGATTCCTGGAGTTAGGCAAAGGTGGAGCTGCCCAGTGTTCACCAGCCGTGGAACTCCATTGAAGTTCCTTCCCATGCAAGGCTGGAGGAAAAGAGCCATTTGAAGTGTATTGGTTGGAGGGAGAGCTGGGACTTACTGAGCCAAGTGGGAAGAACTAGCACCATAGGAACATGTGAGAAAAAGCTAGGAAATGTTTTGGAGGTTGAGTGGCAGGAAGGAGGTATTTTGTCATTATTTTTCAGACCAAAAGTAAGAATAAGATGATGTCTCCCGCTGTTATACGTAATAGAGAAAAATCTTTGTGCCTACATCCCAAGAAGTCATGTACAGGGATGTTTGCTGCTGCCCTGCTTGAGAGAAATGACCTAAATGCCCATCAATAGTGGGATGGGGAAATCAGCTGTGATATGCCCATGCTATAGGGCAGTACGCAGCAGGTCAATAAAACACAGAAGCTGTTTACAAACTGATGCCATAGGGCAGTACGCAGCAGGGCAATAAAACACGGAAGCTGTTTACAAACTGACATTGAAACATTCAGTTCCCCTGTTAAGCGCAGAATAATGTTTACAATGGGATGCTACTATCTTGGGGGGAAAGAAGAGGTGAAAAAATACTAAACAGCATATTTGTGCAGGGTAGAATGTGCACAAAACATTGCAGGAGGGATCACCCTTTTTTTTTTTTTTTTTTTTTTTTTTAAAGTGGCTTTGTGTGCAGGGGAGCCAGGTGGGTTAGGGTAGTACTGGGAAGGTTTGCATTGATGGTATTGTATACTCTGATATTTGACCCATGTCTATACATCAGCTATGTTAAAAGGGTAACAAGAGGATTTGAACACAGGCAACTGCATGCAGTGGTTGTTCAGAGCACCGTCTCTGGAGCCATCACAAATCCTGGCTCAGCTTCTGTGAGACTGGGGCAAGGTTATGACCTTTCTGCATCTCTGTTTCCTCATCTGTAAAATGGGGATAGTAATCATACATGCTTCAGTGGATTGCAAGTATTTAGAACAGTGCCTGGCACATATAATGTGTTATGTTTTTGCTAACTGAAGAAAGGTAGGGGATCTGTAGAAGAGCAGGCATCAAGAAGGAGTCAATTTTCAGCAAGGTGGAGATGTCCAATGGCCAATGGGATGTGAGGAGAGCTGTTTGACATAACATTCAGATTCAGAAGGAAGTGCTATGTGGCTGCTGGTTGAAGCCAGCAAAGCAGGTATACTCTGGGGAGAGTATATGAAGTGGGAAGGCAGCTAAGGACCAAACCTTGGTGAACATGAACCAGTAAGGGTCAGAGAGAATAAGACTCCATGGAGGAGACTGAAGAAGCAGTGGAGGATGCAGGAGAAGAGCAACGCCAACAGTAACTGCAGAGAGATGGGGTAGTAGGCAGCTTGAGGATAGGCAAGGGCACCTGGAGATCTGGAGAGTCCCCGTCAAGGCTGGGCACCTTGATAGGATGGAAGCTACACAGCTACAGATAGGAGAGAAGGCAGAGGAAGTGGAGATAGAGTGGCTCTGAAGAAAAGGAAAGAGAGGCTGGGTGCAGTGGCTCATGCCTGTAATCCCAGCACTTTGGGAGGCCAAGGCAGGTGGATCACCCGAGGTCAGGAGTTTGAGATCAGCCTGGCCAACATAGCCAATCCCCATCTCTACTAAAAAAATACAAAAAATTAGCCGGTTCGTGGTGATGCGCACCTGTAATCCCAGCTGCTTGGGAGGCTGAGGCATGAGAATTGCTTGAACTGGGGAGGCAAATGTAGTGAGGAGGTTGTAGTGAGCCAAGATTGTGCCACTGCACTACAGCCTGAGCAACAGACCCAGATACTGTCCCAGAAAAAAATAAAAAATAAAAAAAAAGGACAGACAGGGTTGTTGGAGCAGTGTCTTATGGGATCCTGGGGTACAGTTTAGGAGGCTGAGAGAGTTTCAGTTTGGGAGAGTGCTGGGCCCACAGCAGGAGAAGGCCACTTACTGTTCTTTATGTGGAGCGTGATGCAGCTGCTGCCAGCCGGGGTGAGGCAGATGTCAGATCCCAGAAGGCACCCTAGCTCCTTGGTCTCCAAGAGGCATCGGTAGCAGCGCAGGTATTTGGGGAATGGAAGTGGTTGAGGGGGTTCCCAATTGATAGGAACAAACTTACCTAGAATACAAAGAAGAGCTGACCCCACTGACACCACATTCTCCCTCACACCCTACCACTGCGTGATTCCAGGCCACTCAATCCCACTGTTCCTTCCCTTCCTATCTCAGAAAACCACCAAAGCCCCAATTCTCTGCTTCCTTCCTCAACTGCAAGTATATACATCCCCTCTTTCCTAAGAGGGTCCTAAGCCCAGAGCACACGTTAACCAGTCCCCAGACCCAGCAGAGCACTTGGTGTGAGGCAGAGTTAAGTGCTAAACAAATGCTTTGAATCCCGTGTCTCTGTGGCTGGTGCTTTGCATGTGGGGAGGCTAGCAGGCTGGACTGTCTTGCTCTATCTTGTGGACTCTGATTCTGTCATCCAGCACACTCCCTAATCCTCCCTATTCTGTGTTGCTCTGGAGAGTATTTCTTCAGTATCTCTATTCAGGTCACTGCTGTGGAGTGCAACAGCCCTGGGGTGGTCACTAGAAATCTCCTTCAGAGGCTGGATGCAGTGGTTCACACATATAATCCCAGCACTTTGGGAGGCCAAGGTGGGCAGATCACCTGAGGTCAGGGGATCCAGATCAGCCTGGTCAACATGGTGATACCCCCATCTCTACTAAAAATACAAAAATTAGCTGGTCATGGTGGCTTGTGCCTGTAATCCCAGCTACTCAGGAGGCTAAGGCATGAGAATTGCTTGAACCTGGGAGGTGGAGGTTGCAGTGAGCTGAGATCGCACCACTGCACTCCAGCCTGGGAGACAGAGTGAGACTCAATCTAAAAAAAAGCCAGAACTCTCCTTCAGAGTGCACATCAGTCCATGAGCAGGCATTCCTTACCAAACCCATCCATCCCATCTCTCCTTCTGCCTGGGTTTACCTGAGCGTACCCAGACGCTTGGTGTCTGTGCGTTTCTCCATCCCGTAGGCCAGGAGACCCTTCTGACCCCTTAGAGCCACTTACCAAATGCCAAACTCATCATGACGAGCACTATTAAGAAGACCGTGTACAGGGCTTGAGGGGTGCTGTGGAGGCACAGAGGGCCCAGACTCTGGCTCCTTGCAGGGCCTGCCATAAAAGGCATGACTGCCTGCTGGCCTCCAGTGTGGGCTTATATTGGTGGAAGAGTGGTTGGCCAAGAGGAAGGAGAGGGGCAACACCAGCTCAGGGTGGAAATCAGTGCCAGGCCAGCCAGAGGAACAGAATGTCCTCACCCACAGCCACTTTGGTGCATAACATCCTGCTTGAGGGCAGGGGCCCAGCAATAGGGGAATGAGAGGGGGAACTTTCTTTCCTGTTAAGTGAACAGATGTTTATTGAATCACTGTATCAGGTGTTGGGATACAACCGTGCACAAAATCTCCACCCTAACAGAGCACAGTCTACTAGGGGAGACAAGTCAACCAGCAATGATGTGGGGAGGGCAAAGTGCTGCCAGGAGCACCTGGACAGTTAAACCCCTGACCAGAGAGATTTCGGCAGAGGAGTAACTTGATCTGATTTCTGTTTGTAAAGGATTGCCATGGCTGCACATTGCATTTGGGGCAAGAGTGGAGGCCGCCGGGAAGTAGGACGCTATTCCCGAGTCCGGTCACAAGATGGCGGACTGGTCCAGCAGAAGACCAGCAGGGACGAGGAGGCTAGGCTCATGAACCTGAGATATATTTAGAAGACGACAGATTTGCTTTTGGACTGAACGAGGAGTGAGGGAACGGGAGTAGGCTTGCATAAGTGAGTGGCACCATTTTCCAAGATAGGAAACATGGTTTGTCTAAAAAAAAAAGCAAATGGGGTGCCCAGTCCCACTTCCCATACCCTGGGGACACCTGTCAGACATCCCAAAATGAAGACACCTGGATCCCAAGCGACATGTACCCAGTTCAGTGTCCCCTTGGGGTTCCAGGAACCCAGCGCCTTTCCCCACCTCATCCTTGTTCCTGCCCCACCTAAGCTCATCTGCGGTTCAGTGGGCCTGATCTCCGGCGCCCACAGAATCTGGCGCTGCGCGTTCGCTCTCCGCGCTTGACCGCACCTCAGAGCTCCAGTAGGACGCGGGGGCGGCCCCTGCCCAAGCTCTGTTCCCTGGGGAAGAAACCTGGGAAGAGGGAACCTCGCGTAGGGACCCAAGCGTCTGGCCCCAGCGACACTCGGAGCCCGGCGCCGCTCCCTAGGCAGGCGGTGCCTTAGCGCCACCCTCCCACCCAGGCGAATTCTGGAGACCGCGGCCCCAGGCGTTTCACCCATTTCCTCCCCTGGGGACCCCCTGGGCTCCCCAACTTCGCCTACTCGGTCCCCACCCTGCCAGGTCAGTCTTGACTCAGAGACTCAGGGTTTTTACTTTTAGGGTCGTTGGGCTGCGGGTTGGGGGAAAGAGGGAGGTCCTTAGCGTCCAGGAATTACACCACCTGCTCCAATTTCGCGTCTGAAGGTTCGGGTCGAGGCTTCGAACTCGGTTTCTCTGCTACCTCCCAGACTATGCAAGAATTATCCAGTCTCAGGATAAGGGGGAAGATGGGAAGAAATAGACAGAAGAAGCCCGCCCAGAAATACTGCGGGAAGGAAGAAATATGAGAGGAAACGGTACGCTACTGAGCGCACCCCCTCCCCCCGCCCACCTCGAGAACTTTGAAATGAATGAATTTAAAAACTGTATTAGGGCGAAGCTCGGTGGCTCACAACTGTAATGCCATCATTTTGGCCGAGGCAGGAAGATATTTTGAGCCCAGGAGTTTGAGACCAGCCTGGGAAACTTAGCGAGACCCTATCTCTACACACACACACACACAAAAGTAGAAAAAAATTAGCCAGGCATGGTGGCCCGCGCCTGTAGCCCCAGCTACTCGGGAGGCTGAGGTGGGAGGATCGCTTGAGCCCAGGAGGTCGAGGCTGCAGTGATCGCGCCACAGCTGTCTCAAATAACAACATTGATAATGCTTTTAAAACAAAATACATTGGCTGGTCGCGGTGGTTCACGCCTGAAATCCCAGCACTTTGGGCCGAGATGGGCGGATCATTTGAGGTCAGGAGTTCGCAACCAGCCTGACCAACAAGGTAGAACCCTGTCTCTACCAAAAATACAGAAGTATTAGCCAGGGGTGTTGGCGCCTGTAGTCCCAGCTACTCGGGAGGCTGAGGTAGGAGAATCACTTGAACCCGGGAGGCGGAGATTGCAGTGAGCCGAGATCGTACCACTGCACTCCAGCCTGGGCGACAGCCTCCGTCTAAATAAATAAATAGAGTAAAATAAATTGTATTAGAGAAAAGACAGAGGAATGGAGAACTGGGGAGGAGCGGCAGGCACCAACACAAATGCCTTGAATGAGTGAGTACACAGAGTGATAGACGAAAAGAACCAGAGAGCCAGCGCTCCTGTTAAGGCGAAGAGGGCAAAGGGGAAGCAGAGGGGAACTTCACAGCGCCCTCTGAAGCTCCCTCTCGAATATAATCGCAACGAAAAGGCCAAGGACTAGAGGCTTTGCGAGGCTGAGGCTGGGCTTCCAGAGGCGATCGCCCTGAGAGGTCCGGGAGGACTTGCTGTGGAGTTACAGAGACCGTGGGTCTTAAAGGAACCTGGGGGCAAGACACCCCCCCAGTATTTGCGGGGTATTTCCCCGAATTACTATTGTGGGGAGGGGTGAGGTCGTGGCAGGGTGGGGCCTTCTTCGGAGGGGGCGTGGCCTCCGAGTTATTAATCCCGCCTTTGTTTCATTTTGTTCCTCCCCTGTCCACGCGGCAGGGCGAGCTCAGGCCGCGCTAAGAGCACCGAGAGTTCGTTTCCATGGTGACGGGTTCCGCGGACGTTTTCCTGGGGTGAAGAGAAAGGGCGTTGCAATAGTCACCATGGCGACAGCAGCAGTTGACAGTATCCTTGCTGAGTGCTCCTACCTAGAGTTAAGGGATACCTGAGGGTAAGCAACCGAATTCCGAAACAAAGAAGGCGGGGGACCGAACGCCAGTGTTAGGGGAATGGGGCGTGGCGAACGAGGGGCGGGGCTGTAGATGACCGGCCAGGGAGGCCCAGGGTCTGTTGAGGGAGCGGCTCCAGACTGCTTTCTGGAGAGGAACCAGAGAGAGGGTCTTTAACCTAAATGTAAATGAATGACTGGATTCCTGAAGGAGCTGATATGGCTTGTCAATTGGATGGATGGATGGATGGATGGATGGATGGATGGATGGATGGATAGATGGGTGGATGGTTGGATGGATGGATGGAAACTTGGCTATCGCCCCACCCTCCTGGGCCCTCCACCTCCGAAGCCCTCACTTGCTTGTGACAGCTATGGGAGAAACACACACCTCTCCTAGGAGCAAACCCTCAACCCAAACAGGCAGCCCAAAGCCAGTCGAGCACCTCACACTGGAGGCACTCAGGGCGAAACCTAGGTCAATGAGGCAGGGTAGGATGAGGCTTCTTGGCCCAGCCAGGAACCACTTCTTCCCAGGTTTCCCGTCCATGGTCTAACCTTCCTTTCTCCCAGCGCTGTTTTCTCTCTTGGTTTGCCCAGCTCCTCAGGGTGCCTGGACTTTCAGGCCGCACCTGGTGCCCTGTATAGCAGGGTCCAGTGCCCCAACAGCTGTGGGGGTCTGTATCTCTGCTGATCATCCCCTGGAACTGCTGGAACTTTGCTATATAGGGTGAGGAGTGGACAGAGGCCTGGTCCTACCCCTGGGTGTGGATTGGTTCTGAAAACAGACACAGCTGCTCTTAATCTTATTGCATGGAGAGTAATCTGAAGTAGGCTGAGGCCCCTGGGTGGGGGGTTCAGAATTCACATGTTGAACCTCCCTTTCCCTACCATATTTCAGGTATCTAAGGGCTCCTTAGGGCACCCACTGTTCTCTACAATTACATGCAGGAATATGGGGGAAAGTGGCAGTAGGGCAGGTCAGCAGAGTCCCTAATGGCTATGTCCAGGGAGGGATGTCCTTTGTCCCCAGGGTATGGGAGGTAAGACGGCACTTCCTATTTGTTGTTTTGTTGTTTTTTTTTTTTTTGAGACAGAGTCTCACTCTGTTACCAAAGCTGGAGTGCAGTGGCATGATCACACAGCTCACTGCAGACTCCACCTACTGTGATCCTCAACCAAGTGATCCTCTTACCTCAGCCTCTAGAATAGCTGGGACCACGGATGCATGCCACCATGCCTTGCTAATTTTTTTTTTTTTTTTTTTTTTT